CGCGCCCGGCGTCTAACAGCCTCTTAATGCAATGACTTTTTTTTTTTTTTAAAGGTTATATAATGCTTATTTGTTTCTTTTTACGGCTTTTCACTTAAAGTTTATTTTGTGTGATATAAGTGTAGCAATCCCTACTCTTTTTGTGTTTTTTATTTGCATGGAATATCTTTTTCCATCTCCACGCTTTAAGCCTGTGTATGTCCCTAAAGCTGATGTGAGTTTATTGTAGGGAGCATGTAACTGGGTCTCTGTTTTTTTCAAAATCCATTCAGCTACTCTATGTCTTGATTGGAGAATTAAATCCATTTCACATTCAAGGTAATTATTGATAGGTATGGACCTACTATTGCCATTTTGCTAATTGTTTTCGGCTGTGGGTCTCATGGGCAGTGTTCCACATGGCTGGGAGAGACACGCACTCACTCACTAAGCTCCCACTTTTCCTGTGGGAGAAATCGCTGGCCAAGGGAGGTCTCTCTTGGCACTGAGCTCTGCCACCTAGTGGAAGTAGTGATGCAGGAAAAGCAAAACTGTTCTTACCCACTTCAATTTATCTATTCTGGAAATTTTTATTTTTTATTTTATTTTATTTTTATCTTGTTGTGTCCCCCAGGCTGGTGTGCAGTGGCACGATCTTGACCCGCTGAAACCTCTGCCTCCTGGGTTCAAGCGATTCTCCTGCCTCAGTCTCCTGAGTAGCTGGGATTACAGGTGTGCGTCACCACATCCAGCTAATTTTTTTGTATTTTTAGTAGAGACAGGGTTTCACCATGTTGGCCAGGCTGGTCTCAAACTCCTGGCCCCAAAAAACTCCAACAGTGTGCTGGAACTTCTCCACTGGACTCCTGGACTTCCACAAAGGTACTGTCATCTGGAGGTAGTTTTCAAAATGGATGCTTCTGCAGTAGGATGACAGTACAGAGCTCCTATTTCACCATCTTGCTGATGACACTTATTCCATCTCATTCTGAATTTGCCATTTAAAATACCTTTCATTCGCTTCTTCCCATCTCTCCTTTTCTGCTTTATATTGCATATCGTTTTCTTTATTCCTTTCTTCCCTTTTTATGTCTACTGGTTTGGAAATCATACTCAATATCTTTGGTCTCCATACCTTTTTTTGCATCTCTTTTTTTCTGGGTTTGATGTTCATCTTTCTGAAGATATTCTTTACAAGTTCAGTTAGTAGAAGTCTGTTAGTGGTAAAAGCTGATTTTCCCTAAAAATGTATTTATTTTGCCCTCACTCTTAAGTGATAGCTTAACTAGGCATATAATTCTAAATTGACAGTTGTAACTATTTTATTTTAGCATTTGAAGATATTATTTCACTGACTTTTAGTTTCTTTTGTAGCTAGTAAGAAGTCCAGGTCAGGCGCAGTGGCTCACGTCTATAATCCCAGCACTTTGGGTGGCCGAGGCAGGCGGATCACGAGGTCAGGAGATAGGGACCATCCTGGCTAACATGGTGAAACCCCATCTCTACAAAAAATACAAAATATTAGCCGGGCGTGGTGGCGGATGCCTGTAGTCCTAGCTACAGGCAGGAGAATGGCGTGAACCTGGGAGGTGGAGCTTGCAGTGAGCTGAGATCAAACCACTGCACTACAGCCTGGGGGACAGAGTGAGACTCTGTCTCAAACAAACAAACAAACAAACAAACAAACAAAAAAAACAAAAAACCTATCGGCTATCACTCCTTTGTAAGTATTTTATCTTTTTTTGTTTGTTTAAAATGTTTTATTTTTCTTTGATCCTCTTTAAATTTTATTACAATGTGCCTAAATTTGAATTTATTTTGTGTTTTCTTTAGGGTATATTCCTTGGAGTGAATTGCTGTTTCATAGAAAAATTTCTTTTTCACCCTCCCTAGACAATTTCACATTGTTTCCCAATGTGGTTATATCAGTTCACAAGCCAATGACTTCTTCCGTCTTTATATTGCATTATGTCATATGAGTTTTTGTATGCTTATTTTGTAATTCCTTTGTTAGCAAACAGAGGAAAACTGGTTCTCAGTGCCCCAAAGGAAAAGTTGAATTTGCATGTTAGTCATCTTAGATATAGAGAGGGAGGCAACCCATCCCACATAAAATAATGACTATATCATTTTTAAGGCATTTAACATTAAGCATACCTCTTTTTGTCTGATCTTTCTCAACTCCTTGAAAATAAATTGGGTTAAACTTTGTTGAAAAACCCTCTGACTGATATGTATCTCCTTAGGTTCTGAACTTTTCACTTTTTATCTTACTAAATGAACCTTTTCATTAATTTGGAACTTGGCAAAGAAATAAGAATGTTTCAGTATCTTTGGCTAAAAGTTCCCTGATGCTATTTTTAGAAATTCTGGTTGGTACTTTTCAAAATTGCTTATTCCATACATACATAAATTCTTTATGGATCTTATTCTTTCTTTTAATAGTACTAATTTTATTTTGTTTTCAAAATGAAAATACCATTTTTTTTCTGAATCTAAAATTACCTTTATTTCTGTTTCTAAATATGATAATACATAGAATTGTTTAAGGTTTCTGATTAATCTCTGTGCTTAAGGAGACTGCCTGCATTCTTTCTGGTATTTAGGGAGAACTATTTCTAAGCCATTTCAGACAATTACATAATTGGGTGTCTGTCTTTTGCTGTTGTTATTGCCTTGTAATATTTTGGAAATAGGAGAGTCTACAATTACTTTTATGTGCTATCTGTTTGTACTTTTTAGGAAGGTTAAAAAAAAAAAACCTGTTAGATACAACACCTTAAAAGCACATTTTGTTTCTATAAAAAGATAATTAGTGGTATATTAGTATCATGTGCCTTATTAAACCTTCATGTTCTTGAAAATTGTAATTACGATATCTGTCAATCTTACTGTCTAATCTGCTTTAGAAAAATTAATACATTTTTCCAATATATTTTTTTTCCAATTTACCTTTTTCAGCACAGGTTGGGAGAGTAAATATTTTTGCAGAGTGTAGCCTAAACGCAGTACAAATCACACATTACCTTGTTCATAACTGAGAGAACTATACCTATTGTGATCTGAAGAGCAGATTGAAACCAGAAGTAAAATATTCTGTACTCCAGGTGCCTTTAAGGAATAAGCAAAACTCTTTGGCTGAGCATGGTGACTCGTGCCTGTAATCCTAGCACTTTGAGAGACTGAGGCAAGAGGATCCTTTGAGACCAGAACTTTGAGACCTGCCTGGGCAACACAGCCAGGCTCTTTCACTACAGAAAATAAAATAATTAGCCGGGCCTGGTGGCACATGCCTGCAGTCATAGCTACTCCAGAGGCTGAGGTGGGAGGATTACTTGAGCCCAGGAGTTCTAGGCTGCAGTGAGAAACGATCTCACCACTGCACTCCAGCATGGGCAACAGAGAGAGACCTTGTCTCTAAAATAAATAAAAATAAAACAACAATAACAAAACCCAAAGCTCCTCTCTGTGGACTTAAAATATATATATATATATATATATATATTTTTTTTTTTTTTGGAGACGGAATCTTGCTCTGTTGCCTATGCTGGAGTGCAGTGGTGGGATTTCAGCTCACTGCAACCTCTGCCTCCCGAATTCAAGTGATTCTCCTGCCTCAGCCTCCCAAGTAGCTGGGATTACAGGTGTGCACCACCAAGCCCGGCTAATTTTGTATTTTTAGTAGAGATGAGGTTTCACCATGTTGGCCAGTCTGGTCTTGAACTCCTGTCCTCAAGTGATCTGCCTGACTTGGCCTCCCAAAGTGCTGGGATTACAGGCGTGAGCCACTGCACCCGGCCTAAAAAATTTTTTTTGATGTTATGCAAGAAATCTGATGTAATATACCAATTCGAGGTAATTTAATGAAAAAATGCTTATAGAGATATTATAAATGTGTTTATATTAATTACACTAGTCTTCTTAGTAATATTCCCAATGCTGAGTTTTATTTATGGCTTTCTTAAAGGCAGAATTGTGATTTAAGTATTGAATGTTTTCACAACCAATGAAAAGTTAAGACTATATAGAATACTCATAGGATATACAGAAGAGGAAAGTACCTTTGGTGGCTTTTATTTAATTTTTTAAAATTTGATTTTAAATTTCTTGTATTTGAATTTTATTTGAGTAGGTAATATTTACAAGGTTCAAAATTCAAAAGGCACAAAAGGATACACAATAAGGAAAGTGTCTTTCCCCCGTTGCTGTGTGCCACCTACTCAGGGCTCTCCAAGCAATCAAAGTTACAAGTTACATCCAATGGTATTCTACTAATATTCTGTGACAGCCTCCTCGCCACCATTTTTAAAACATGATGTTGAAGGAGTTGAAGCCTGTAAAGGCCTTATTAAAGGTGCCTTATTATTTGAAGCAGAAGTAGTGGCTGATTCTATGTCTCCTGACATTTTAGTTCAGGACTTGGTAATCTTTGCACTAAGTCACACTGCTTTTGTAAGGTGGCGAGTTGGCAATGATTAATCAGTGTGGATAGTACAATCCGGTAATTTTCGACTGGTTTAAGATTGTGACAACCAGAAAAGGTTTATCAGAAGGGCGGCAGGGGACGAGATTTTTGGTTCATCAAAAGGAGGCAAGGGTTTTAAAAATCACGTGGTTTGACTTTTGCTAAGCCCCGGGGATGGCGCGTGTCAGGCCCAGAGTGCTGATGTCAGCGCGGATCCGAGCCAGGCCTCGGGGGACTGGCGTTCAGACCTCGGGCCGCTCGCATCTCTAACAATTTGAGCCCTACTCTAAGGTGTGGTCACGGTCCCACCCACCCTGATCTCAGACTGGGCACGGTGCGGGAGGAGGGCGGATGAGGCCTCGCCCTCGCCTCTTTAGTAGGTCGGGTGAGTGTAGTGTGCAGGGAAGAGACGTGTCAGCGTCAGCGCCAGGGCCAGGCCCGCCCGGGGGCAGCCGGGCAGCCGGATCTTGGGCTACTGTGTCCCAACAGCCGGAGCGGATCAGACCGACAGGCCCTGCCCGCTCGGTCCCGCGCCGTCCAGACCCTACGGTCTCCGTTTCTAGGGGCACATGGTTAGCGGCAGACGCCCACAGCCAATCCACTCTGCCAGCCTGCCCCTTCCTCTGCCAAGAGCAGCTTCTTCAGCCGCGCTACAGTTCCGCAGACGCCTGCCCCACCCTGCCCTTCCCTTCCAGGGAAGACGGATCACGCGGCCAAGAACGAGACTCGCAAACTGGGCATTTCTCCGAGCCGGGCTGGAGCAAGTAGCGAGACTCCTTGTGAGAGTGGGAAGGAGCCTTAACAGGCAACCATGTGGCCCAATGGGTTTTCTGTGCCTTTGGGTGCGGACCAATGAGGCATGTGGGGCGGGACTTCCGCTTCGCCTCGGTGTTGTCGTCCCTGCTCCTACTCCGGGCTGTGGGGGTCGGTGCGGATATTCAGTCATGAAGTCAGGGTAGGGACTTCTCCCGCAGCGACGCGGCCGGCCGGCGAGACTGTTTGTGTTGCGGGGGCTGGACTTCAAGGTAAGACCTTGTCCGGCTTCGCGGCAGCCGGGCAGCGGGTTATCCAGAGGCCCAGAGAACATACCCCGCTTGTTGGCCCTCGAGCCCGGAGTCGGCCCTGCTGCTGAGGTCTTTTGCTGCTCCTCTAGAACTGGGCGAGAAGTAAATTAGGCTTTTTGCAAAAGGAATAAAATAGCCTTGCCCTCGGGGGACCGAGTCTCCTCTGCACTCTGATTCTGCGAGTTTGTGTGTGTCCAAAGTTGAGTTACCGGTTTTGCTTCTCTCATTCCCTTCTTGAGGCTGCAAGAGCCTGCCTGGAAAACATGTTTGGAAGGCTTTTCTTGGTCAAGCACCTGCCGCAACGTCCTCGGGGAAATCGCTTGACTTTAGTTGAGGGGGCTGTTTTGTCTTCGAATAGAAGGAGGGCAATCACTTCCTCTCTTTTACCCCCACCCCCTTTTTCTTTCCCTGGAATCTCAGATTGCAGATTTGGGACGTGACCCCTGCTAGGGCCAGATACTACGGTCAGTCAGCAGCTGTGCCTGTACGCTTGACTTGACTTGCACTTATTAAAGAACTTTGTCCCAGAGAGAAAGAGAGAGTGGGCAGACATAGAAGCCAAACAGTAGTATCCCGGAAGCACTCATGCAACTTTGGTGGCAGCCACTCAGTTTTCTCTGCCGGTGTCTGGTAAATTCCTCTATTTTGTCCTAATCTGACAATAGTAAATAGTAAATTTCCAAAACTGTCGTTTCATCATCAGTTTCAGCACCGTGGGCAGCTGCTCGGGTCCTCTCTTGTTGCCCCAAACCTGCCCGGCTATTACTGTTAGTCAGTGATGCAGCAGGAACAGTGAAAACTGATGCATTCCTTTCAACAATGATGTGTTGTTCTCCAAGGAGAACATCTGCAGTTTTTGTTACAATATAAATAAGTAAGGTAGCTGTGCCTCCAAAGAGTTCTTGTGGAGAAACAAATCAATTCAAGATTTAAGGTAGGACTTTCAAGAGTTTATTCTATTTAAGGACAATTTTTTAAATGGGTGGAGATTAGCTCCATATCGAAGTAACAAAACTGGACAGTGGTAGCAATGAAAAAGAACTTTAAACAGGAGGTAAGAAGTGTAGTGCAGTGCTGTAGTGCAGGGCCCATAAGGATTCATTAATAGATTTTAGAATCAATTTAGTACATTGACATAAGCATTAAAAAGAAAGAAAAAAATACCAGAGGACATTGTATGGAATAAAAGTAAATATTATGGCAAGAAGCTTTTGTTTCAGTTTTTAACAATATGCATGTGTCAAGAGGAAGTTGGAAATGTAGAGTGTATTATGGATTATTGCAAAAACAAATGTTTCAAAAATACTGGATTCCAAATTTGAGAGTCAAGCTGGGTTCAGTTCTGCCACTTACTAATTCTGTGACATTTTCCATAAATAACAAATGAGTTATGAGGATTAAATGAAACAAAATTTGTCTATTACGTAAGTTTTTTTGTTGTTTTGTTGGAAACTATTGAAGAGAAGGACGGTTATTTTTCTCTATGTAGGGAATGAGAACTGTTTTATTAGGTTTTTTTTTTTTTAACCTCTGCCTTTGTTTGAAGCTAGGCAGCTTGTCATCTTGTCTCTATGTGTAATGCAAATCTTAGACAAAATCTTGGTTTGAGAGTTATAATACTGAAGGGTTTGGGATAAGTTCTCATCTCTCCTTGTATAAAGCTAATTTTCTCAATAATTTTGGAGGGGCATAAATTGTTGTTAGCATTCAGCTTTCTTCCCTTGATATTTTTCTGCATTCCAGAATATCGTAGATTATTCAGAACTTTTACAGGCACTAACTTTAGCTAAGTGAGGGTAGGACTGAGGGTATGACTAAAGGGATAGATTTATGTCTTTGAGTTAAGTTGGAGAAAGGCATTTTATGCCTTATAGTTCTTCCCATAGGAGATGTATGAAATGAAATAGTTTGGTCAACTATCATGGTATGTTTTGCTTACTTCGTGTAGGTGTGACCTAAAAATGGTTGGCATTTAAATAACAATATTTTTAAATCTGGGAATTAATGATGTTTAGCAGAAGGCAAATGAGTTTCAGTCAAAATAGTGTTTTGCACTGTTTGTCATGTTTACCATATGGCATTGCGTATGATAGTTTCACATGACATAAAAAGGGGAAGAAAGTTGGTAAGCATTGTTACTTTTCCCAAAAGAGGAAACAAAATTACAAGCAAATTCCTTTTAATAAAGCATACTGGTGAGTCATTGTTCAAAAATGTATGTATTCTATAGATATTTATTGAGCATATATAAAAGTAAAATATTAAACTTTTATGAATCTTTTACATTACACAAAAGTTGATTTGGGGACAACACAGCATATGATTGGTCTTGTCAAAGTTTATATAACGTAGTATATCAATAACAACAAAACAGTAATGTAGCTAATATTGATTGGTTACTATGAGCCAAATATAATTCTAAGCCCTTTGTAATATCTCAGGTGGTTCTTACAGTCATTGATGTAGTAGATGGTAAATTGTTTCCTTTTTATTTTTATTTTTGGGGGACAGGGTCTTGCTCTGTTGCCCAGGCTGGAGCGATTATGGCTCACTGCACGCTTGACTTTGTGTGCTCAAGGGATCCTCCTATCTTAGCCCAACAAATAGCTGGGACTACAGTCATATACTGCCATGCCTGGCTAATTAAAAAAAAATTGTTTTTTTGTAGAGACAAGGTCTTGTTATGTTGCTCAGTCTGGTCTGAAACTCCAGGGTTCAAGTGATCCACCTGCTTCAGCCTTCCAAAGTGCTGGGATTACAGGTGTGATACATCATGCCTGTCTTATCCCCATTTTATAAGTGGGAAGTGGGGGAATTAAGGCATCACAGATACATAACTTGTGAGTTCACACAAGTAGCTGGTGGAGTAGTGGAGTAGCTGGAATTTGAACACAGGTATTCTGACTACGGAACGTCTGTCTCTTTTATGTCTTATTTCAGTAAAAATGTGGAATGCCATGGGGCTATTGTGGATTCTTACTTGCTGGTGAGTTTCGGTGAGCTCCTCCTCAGTTTCCTTAACTGCTTCCTTATTCGTTTTTGTGGAGATTCAGATAATTTGTGAAGCATCAGATGGAGTATATGTTTAGTAAATTATATGCCTTAGCTTTTTTTTTTTTTTTTTTCCCATTGACGATAACGTCATTTGAAAGATTGTTAGCAGTTGAAGGAGGGTGGGAAAAAAAAAACTTCCACATAAGGACACTGCCCAAGCAAAGGTATAAAGATAGGAAAAGCAGTGTATATTTGGTAAGGGTATGTTTAAGGACCAGACTGGTAAAGATAGATGGATACAGATTATGGAGACTCTTAAATGTCAGACTAAAGATTTTGTATATGATTTTTAGTTAAGAAGAAACTCTCTTTATGGATAATAATTTGTGAACAGGTCCAATGGAAGAGTGGAAGCCTAGAAGTAGGAATACCATGGAGTTTAACTATAGTAGTTGAGGCAAAAAGTGATGATTGTAGTGAAGGTACAAATTTGAAAGATGTTGACATTATAATGACATTGACACTGGGAACTGACCAGAGTATAGGCCCAGGACAAATTTTTGGGAGGATAGTGATGTTATTAGCAGAAATAAGGATATTATCATGAAGAACAGGTTTTGGTGGAAGGAGATTTAGGAGGAGAGAGGATGATAGGCAGTTTACTTTTGGAGCTGAGGAGTTGTTCAGATATTTGGAAATATAGAATGAAAACTGGAAGCTCTATGTATTCTATGAAAAGGGAAGAGACCAAATGCTTACATTGTAAGGAAATGACCTAAAAGTAACCACTCCTCTGTGGGTCAGAGTTTCACAAGAGTAATGTGACTCCTTAAATTCCTCACAAGTACAGATTTCTCAATGAAGATGCACCCATTATTTTTCCCTTTAGTGTATTTTGATTTGTGTCCTGGGAGATCAGGAGGTAAGTCAGTGGGGAGGAAAAATTTTTAGACCTAGCAAGGCTCCCGTTTATTAAAAAAATAGCTAGTAAACTGGAGACTAGGGATTCTCACACTAAGAATTTTGAGAGTCTGATTTTTGTGTGGTGCCAGGCATTTATAAACATATGTTGAATGTTGAATTGTTGAACATTTGAACATCTCCAGATTTTTATTTTTTTATTTTTTTATTTTTTGAGAGAGAGTCTCGCTCTGTCGCCCAGGCTGGAGTGCAGTGGCGTAATCTTGCTCACTGCAAGCTCCGCCTCCCGGGTTCATGTTATTCTCCTGCCTCAGCCTCCCGAGTAGCTGGGACTACAGGCGCCCGCCACCATGCCTGGCTAATTTTTTGTATTTTTAGTAGAGACAGGGTTTCACCATGTTAGCCAGGATGGTCTCAATCTCCTGACCTCGTGATCCACCCGTCTCGGCCTCCCAGAGTACTGGGATTATAGGCGTGAGCCACCATGCCAGGCCCAGATTTGTTATTTTTATTATCACTTCTTTGTTACCTTGAATTGGTTAATAGCAAAACCTTTAGAATCAGAGAGCCTGTGTGCTTGTTATGGGGGACAATGAAAGTCAGGGTGCAACTGATGAGATTGTATTTTACTTATAGCCAGGATTGTGGAAAAAGAGACTCAAAGGATAAGAGGCTTACCATTTTTTCCATTCTGTAAAACGATGTTGATGACAATACCAATTCTGATAGTTGTTTTGAAATACTGAGTTAATATATGAAAAGTGTCTGGTACATGACAGATAGTAATTGAGATGTTTTTGTTATCAGTATTATTATCTTCATAAGTGGAGGCAAACACAGAGATCCCAGAACCTATTATAAGAAAAAAATTAAAACAACTGGAGGCCCTTTGTACTTGAAAAAGGGCTCAGGACTAAGTCATAGAAGGACTGTAGGTTTCCTTTCTTGGAAGATTTTCTAGGGTTTGGTACAATTGGGTAGAGCATGGTGTTGAATTAAGTAGTAAAATATGTCCATCTCAACTATTTTCAGTTTCCTGTCAAGTT